CCCCAAAACCCCAAAACCCCAAAACCCCGAGAGGATATATTTGTTGAGAGTTTCGAAATAGAAGAATTAAAATTATTTATCAGAGTAATCAATGGAAAACATTTAAATCAAGGAAATAGCATCATATCAAGAGGATTCAGGAGTCCTCACTGAGATTATCAATATAAATGTGAATTTGGGGAATATTATATCAAATAACTACGTCACTTAGACAGAAGAGGAAAAAGAGCCTCCAATTCTAGATAAATAACCAGCTTCGTCAATAAAAAGAAAGGGATTTAGACGATCAAATGCAATAGATCCAGCTGACTTAGAGAAGTTAGAGATTTGAATATACATCAATTGAAAGCAATAGTTGCCCTAAGGAAGTAATGCAAACGTATGACTATAATGTAAATGTATATTTGTCCTCAATCTTAACAATAATTATAATTAATACTTCAATATAATCATATCTTTCAAATTACACTCAAAACATTAGTCTATTAGTACTTATCTAAGGAATAGGGAATTCATTTTTCGGCTATCCTTCAATCAGATTTAATTTTCTATATAACATCATTATTACGTTACTAATTATCTTACTTATGATAAGAATCTCCTAGAGTATTTCTTTCAGTAAAAGGGTGATTATACGGATAAACATATGATTATGAGAAATTCTGATGGCTTGAGGGTAAAATCTGCTTATTCTGATTTGCTCCTGAATTTATTACTGATTTTTTCCCGACAAGTTATTATATAATTTCTTATTAGGATTAATTTGAGAGAGTCATCGGTCCCATACTCATGCCAAAAGTATTGAGTGTTTGTAACTGATTTTAACTTCTACTGATTGGTATCCGACGGACTTCAGGATCTTCGAATTTGAACTAACTACCCATATAATCTATAATAATTTTTGTTATCACCACACATTGATTTAAATTTAGGATATTTTATAGAAAAATAAGAATAATTTGATCATTCCTCGTAGTTTAAGTAGAAGCTAAACTTATTAAATTTATGGGAAATCCATCCTTAGACTTACATTAAGATTCGTCTCCCTTGAAAAACTTCTTAGTCCCGTTAAAGTCTAGCTTATCAATTAATCCATTTCCTGCTTACAATTGCTACTTTTAGACCTTATCAATTAATGTAGGTTAGGGATCATTAACTTCGTTGTATATTGCAGACTCACTATTAGAATAAGATAAAATTAATTCATACCGATATCTTCTGGATTAAATGGGCAGTTCAGTTATTAAGTTTAATTGGTTTCCAAAAATCCCTTTCTTGTGAAAATTAGAAGCTTGTTGCTATTTATTCTCTTCATATAACTTAGCTGCCATGAGATAAGGATCACTCATGAAATCTCTTGGCATATGATAAGCTTAATGGTTCAAGAGAGGTATCTCCTGTATTTTGTTCATATCTAATCCATGCACATATGACTTAAACGTATCCTCATTTTCTTGATGAATCGACTCACGAATAAAGGAATGCCTTTAGTTTTCAGTCTTAAATGGATCTTTGTACAATAGCTGACTTTCCATGTGCTGCATTGGATCAATATGAGGCAGAAGATTGCCTTTATGATTCCTCTTTGAGGGTTATGAGTGATTTCGATTCATTTTCTAGGCCATTTAATTTTATTGTTTCATTAATTGCTGGTTTTGTTGATAATTTTGTGCTTAATTTCTACTCAAGACGTTATTCATCATAATGTTTTTCTAGCTAGGATATTGATTCAATTTCTGGTTTACTATTTGATGTCCTTAATTGACTAAGTGAGATTTTTGCGCACTTTGATGCTGATTTCCGTGCCCCTTTTGAGGAACTTATCTATTGATAAAGTTTTGATTATTTTTCATTTTCTAATTATTAATTTTACTTATATAATTCCCAATATCATTAAACATTATAATCACGTTATCGGGGTTTTGGGGTTTTGGGG